GATGATGATGCTGAAGCCTAGAGAGGGGTAGACACTGGCCCAAGGTCACACAGGGAGGGAGCTGAAACGGGGATTCCCAAGTCTTAGCTGGTCTCAAGTCTTAGCTGCTTGGTTTAGAAACTGAGGGTCCTCTCCAGAAGGTTTGGGACTGATTTTGGGTTTGGGTCCTGGGAAGAGACATCCCAGAACAGGGAGGTTTTTGTGGAGTGGGGGGAGGAGGAGGTCTGGGGACTTTTTTGAGGGTTGCGGGGAAGGGATAACTCCACCCCCAGGCCCTCCCCTTCTTTGGAAGGAGACAGGGATGGGAGCTGGTGAGCATTTCGGGGTCCAGTGCCCCAGCCCCCAACTCTATATGGCCAGCTCGGCCCAAGACGTGGCCTGGGGCAGGTGGGAGGGCAGAGGGAGGGACAGATGAAGGAGGCGGTTACATGGCTGTGGCTAACACAGAAAACTGCTTCCTGTTCAAGATTTTAGGGCATGAGTCATCACGGGCCTGGCCCTGCACATTCAGGACGCTGAGATAGCTGGGGCAAGAAACAGTTACTTGCCCTGGCTGCGCACCGGGCTTGGTGGGGAGGGGGTGGGGGTCCTGCCACCCAAGCAGCCCTGCAAGACAGGATCCCACTGGGGCCCCCGGAGGCCATGTTAGAAGGAGTTGGCTTTGTGGCTGGTTGGGGGAACTCACTCAGACAAGAGTATTGCACAGAGACCTCCTCTGTAGTGGAAACTGCTCCTCTGAGCACAGCGCAGCCTTCCAAACCGCCCTCAGCCACTGCACCTGCTGCACGTACACCCTCTGAACGGTTTCTCAGCAGGTGTCCTACAGTCACCTGGGGGCTCATGCAAAAGCCAGCTCATCGGGCCCTCAGCAGACATGGGAATGGGGCCCAGGAATTGCATGTTTAACGATCCTTCCAGATGATCCTTATACTCGTTGAAGCTGGAGAGCCAATCCTCCAAAAAGTCCACTGGAATGCCTGGCACATAGTAGATGTTCAATAAATACTAGTGGACAGACTGGCTGTTCTTGCACATGTTGCTGTGGCCGAGCCTTCCACACCCGCTTGCAGAAGTGCAGTCATTGGCTTTCTGGGGCATGAGAGGGCTGGGGGCTCCCTGAGGGCTGTGGACTGGGCTGGGACATGAGGAAAGGCTCCAGGGAACCCCAGGCCGTGGGTTCAGGTACTGTGCATGCAGCCCCTGAGTTGGGGAGCAGAGGGCCATAGTCCTGTCTCTGCTGGAAATCCGCATGTTACCCGGAGCAAATGGGGCTTTTTCTGAGCTGCGGGGCTGGGAGTCTGGGTGGGGCGGGTAGGGCTTGGGAGTGAGTGGGCTGGATTGGGCTCCTGCACCTCGACCCTGACATCCACGTACTCATTCATTCATTTTTCATTCACCCACTTCAGTCTTCAGCCCTTTGTTGCCTCGTGTATACACTAGTCCTGTATTCTGTCCTTACTCACTTCAACTTTCCTGAGCCCTCCTTTTGTGTATCTCCTAAACAGAAGGGACCATGACCAAGTTCATCTGCCCTGGAGGAGCACACAGCCCAGCAGTGTGAGGGGCAGCCCAGCTGAGCAGGGCTCAGTGGCTACGGAGGCAGCCAAACCGGGTTTGACTCCACCGTACACCTTACAAGCTGTATGTGTAAGCCTGCCATAAAGCTGGCCCCCCGTGCGAGAGGATGTCTGTAACCCTCTGGCCCAGAGCAGACTCGCCATAACCGCCAGTATCACAATGACTAGGAGAGGAGAGGGTGGGTAAACAACGAATAATGATACCGGGGTGCGTGCTATGCTAACGGTCTGTCCAGTCCCGGGTTGCTGGGGTGTGGTCAGTTTCAGAGGAGGGAGACTGGGGCTGTGACTGGAAGGACAAGGAGATGATCACCAAGCAAACAAAGAGGGAAAGACATGCAGGCAGAGCAAGCTGCGCGGACAAAGGCATGGAGGTGAGAACTCAGAGTTACCCGGGTGCGCAGGGGTTAGCGTGTGGAGTCGGGGGTCCCGGTGCGGGTCTGCGCGGCAGGCAGTCCAGGCCGGGACGCGAAGGCTGAACTCAATTCTGAAGGCTGTGGGAGGCCACGGGCTAGGTCAAGTGTCTCAACCTTGGCATTATCGACATTTTGGGCTTGAGAATTCCCTATTATGGAGCATCCTGTGCTTTGTGGGATGTTCAGCAGAACCTCTGGCCTTAGCCGCTAGGTCCCAGTGGCACCTATGCCTGCCGTCTGCAACTGCGACGGCCCCAAATATCTCCAGACGCTGCCAAATCCCCTCCTGCGAGACTAGGGGAGCGGCATGAGCGGATGATGCTTAAAAAACACAGATGAGCAATGAATCTGGAGCATTATGCTTTTGAGGGCTGACCCTGACCACAGCGAGGAGAGCAGGTGAGAGGGACAGTCCCTGACAGCCAGGGCCTGTCGGGAGGCCACTGGAGCATCACAGGTGAGAGATAGAGCCAGGGCGGGGCTGCGGGGCAAGAGAAGGGGCCAGGCGATCCGGGCTGTGGCAGGTGCTAAAAGGACCACCCCTGCTGTCTGCGAGTTCTACCGATTCCCCAGTGGCAGGTACAATGTGGTGGGTGTCCAGATCGAGCCCCCATCCCGAAGAGAAAGGCCTGGGCCACCTGTGCAGGTCATGCTAAGAGACTAACTGGTTCAGCCAGAATTTGCCATTCCCCCCCTCCCCTCCCAAAGAGAAAGGATTTGGGGGAAGGAGACCTCCTGAGTGCCTCCTGCTGCCCTTTGTTGGCGAGGAGGGAGCACGCCCCCTTACCTTGAGCCAAGCGGGGTTTAGGAACCATAATGCTGATGGGAGGTTCTTGTCTGTTTTGTGCCCTGCCGAGTCCCCAGCACCCCAAGGCTGGTACACAGTAGGTGCTTGATAAAGACACCTGCTGCTAGGTGGGCATGAGCCGGGCTGCTACAGGTGCAGAGCAAAGGGCAGGGCAACAGTGGACCCCAGGGAGAGCCAGCCTTGAGCCATCGCTACCCCAAAGTGCTTCCTGGTGGGGGAGGTGGCCTCGGCAGGAGAAGTGCGGGAGACCACCATTCGTGTAGGAGCCAAAGGCCATGTGAACTGTGCTGGCAGGAGGTTTGGGCTTTCCTGGTGCTGCTGGGGAGCCGTGGGCAGAGCAATCAGCAAGAAGGTCTCCAAGGAAGCTGCAAAAGTGCCCCCAGAGAGAATGAGCCAGAAACTGCCTCCCAAAGGCCCCAATGCCAGGTGGGTGACAACTTTGGCTGCCATGGAACACTGTACCCTTTTCTCCCAAACCCCTCACCCCTGGGCATGACCCTCGAGGGCTCAGGAACTCTGCACTTGGCAGAGTTAAGACAGAAGTTGCCTGCCTGCAAGCCTGGCTTGTCCCGAAGAAGGGGAGAAGCTCCATGTTGCACAGGAGACTGAAGCTAATTTGTTCTAGAACAAGAACTAATCCCGGGAGGACGCTCATGTGTGGGAGGTGATGGTGCCATTCACTGGAGTGGGGAAGCTGGCAGGGGAGCCTGTTGGAGGGCAGGAGTCACTTGGACCCCACTGGGTTTGAGGTGTGTGTGGGACATCCAGGGAGAACTATTGTCCCCTGCTTTCATCAGGTGACATCCCACTCCTGGCCTTCGGGTCTCTCTTACGGATCTGGGAGGCCTCAAAACTGCTCCCAGGTGAGGCTTATAAGGGCCAGAAGAAATCTTCATGCTTGTTCTGGAAGCTGATCCTCTCTGCAGAAGTAAGGTTGTAGGTCGTGTTGTCCGCACCCTCGGCATGGCGCGTGGCGCAGAAACGTGTGGGAACCAGGTGATTTCCCAGTCTCCTGGTCAGGAGGTGGGATTTTCCATCCCCCAGGAGTCACTTCCCAGTTTCTCACTCAGCACCTAGTAGCACCATCCTTGTGGTCTCCATCGTGGGGTTGGTGGCCCAGAGCAGGGCCTCTGTACCTCTTGAGGCAGCCTGCAGTGAGGGAACTGGGAACAGAACAGCCTCTTGCCACCCTGCCCACCCCACCTCTCAGAAATGCCCTGTGTGCTGGGGCCAAAGACAGCCCCATAAGGATGTTTAAGGATAAACGAACAAATGAATAGTAGTAATCACAACTAATACTTACACAGTG